CCCCACTCTGCTCCAGCCACACTGGCCTTCCTGACGCTTTCCTCAAGTATGCCAGCCGCATTCTCACCTCAGGGCCTTTGCACTTGTCTCCTTTCTGCTGAGAACATTCTTGCCCCAGATCACTCAATAACCTTCATCTCCCTCAGATTTTTACTCACAAGTCCCTTTCTCAGTGAGCCCCTCTGCCACCTTATATAAGTTGCAACACTCCCCCTTGACCCCCGACTCGCTCTCTCTCTCTCTTTCCTGCTCTGTTTTTCTCTCTAATTACCTCTCTCCCCCTACTAGAGTGTTAGCCGCTTAAGGACCGGGATTCTGACGTGTTTTGTTCACTGCTGTTATCAGTGACAGCCAACAGGTGGCACGTGTGACAGGGCTAATGCATGGCAGGGTTGGGATTGGGGCGGGTGTAACGGTCGTCAAGGCCCCTCTGCATGGTCTCCGCAGACTCAGCGAAGAGCTGAATCGACGGAGAGGGAAAAGAAACAAACACCCATCCTGCAGTCCTTTTCCATTTAGATGTCAGCTTATAATGTTCCTTGCCTGAGACGTGTTTTAAGTGCTTGGTCATAACCTTCCCGCCAAGTTTAAGGCTTTTCTTTGACTCATTGTCATTAACAGGGAAAAAGTTGGGGGCCCTCACATCGCGCTGGTGGACGCCCCAAGGAAATGAGTGAAGTTACTGCACACCCGAGGCCCGGACGCTGGCCCCGATCCTAAGGCCGGGATGACTGCCTTCTTCCTGCGCATGGAGGTGTGAAACCAGGCTGGTAGCGGGACTCATGGGGAGTCACCGTTGACAGTGTATACTTCCTGCCTACGGTTTTCCGGAATTATCCAACTGGAGCTTATGAAAACTTTTCAGGTATTAACCTCTTTAACACATAGTATTATTAAGATACATCGTGTGCAGTTTTGAGCTCCTTCTCAGTTTTGCGACAGGCTCAGGGAAGGGCGAACCAGGCAGCACGTACCTGATTCATTACCGTCGCCTTCCTGGAATTGAAAATAAAGGCAGATTCAACAAAGCAACAACATGGCAAGTTTTTCTATTCCAGAAACTACTGTTTTTTTAAAAAAAAACCTTTGAGATTGACTATTGTCTAATCTATCTATTGACTATATGTCTAATAAATCAACTTTCAGAATATATTTGTAGGGGATTATCTAAAAAATCTCGAGGTATTACGGTAATATTCCCTTCTAGGTTTCTCCTTAGTTTCCAGCCACCATGCAATAAGTTTATTTACTTTTTTTGTGTATTATTTTTTAAATCAGAAATTCTGTTTTTAAAGGCATGGAACCCATGCCGTGGGGCTGCAGGGGGGTCAGAAATTAGGCAACCATCGGATGTGTTTCCACCAACCATTGCTTCCTGCTTCTGCACACTCAAATCCTTAACTTGCAGAAGAATAAAGACACCAAGCGTCACCACCAACATTGTTGATTTACCGCGCTCTAAACTGAAACCTGACTTTTTGTCTTAAAGATTGTTTGACTTCTAGAATTTTCAGAATTGCAATCCAACGCAGCTGACCCTTTGTTCCCGGTTTTCCTGTTCTGGAACCTTCCTGTGCTTTACTCAGGGGTTGGTCATGGACATCTCTGGTTCTGTCCTGGGTGATGTCTTGAGCTTAGATGATGATGTAGGTCTTAAAAAGTCCCATATTGCTTCTGTCTGAATCAGCAGGAGATACACATTTCTCACTGGGTCCAGTGTTGTTTGCTCATTCTACAGCTTTTCAAACTTCCAGTGTCCAGTAGGCTCTTTAGAACCGCTTGTAAATACCAGCTCAGCTAATTGTGTTAAAGGTGTCATTTGACACCATAAACCACTTCACCGGCGGTTAAGACTGGCTTTCATTCCAACGCTTAACAGCCAGAGATAAGGACTCGTGTTGACAAGCAATCTGCCCACACATTTCCCTGTGATGACACATCCTAATCACCGGCCAAGCGCACTCCTCTGTGAACAGTAGCCCACGGATAAGCAGTCTGATTGTTTTCTTAAGGAATCAATTTCTCTTTTAACCTTCTGAGCAACTTTTATTTACCTTCCCAAGAACACTACAGAAAGTGGACAGTGTGTTCTCATCAACCTGTTTCTTATTTTGCGCCGTTTATATTCTCGAGTGGAATGAGACTAATAAAATACTAACGTGTTTGTAATTAGCATTATTTGTGAAGTTGAAATACCATGGCATTTACTTATCGGCATTTCTCATTAAAAAATGTGTCTTTGCAGGGAGGTAATATTGTAATTGACCCAAGAAAAAGGCTCTTATCTTCATTCTACCTTCGCAGGGACTAGCACGGTATCCCGCAGAGTTGATGCCCAATCAGTAATCGCTGGTTTAATAACTAAAGCGGCTTTTTAAGACATTCTTGTTTGTTTGTTTGTTTCTTTTTTTAAAAGTATAATTTATTGTCAAATTGGCTAACATACAGTGTATACAGTGTGTTCTTTGTTTTGAGGGTAGATTCCCATGATTCATTGCTTATAGACTAAAACACTCTACATTTTTGCTTTTAACGTTTATTCATTTCTGAGACACAGACAGATCATGAGCAGGAGAGGGGCAGAGAGAGAGGAAGACACAGAATCTGAAGCAGGCTCCAGGCTCTGAGCTGTCAGCACAGAGCCCTGGGCGGGACTTGAACCCATGAACCATGAGATCATGACCCCAGCCGAAGTCAGCCACTTAACCGACCGACCCAGACGCCCCTACGTACTAAAACATTCTAGCTTAACGTGGTAACATGTCTACAGATATATGAGAACCTGCAAGTACTTAACCTATGTGATGTGTCTCTCCCCCTTCCACATGTTACATAAAATGTCATTTGTTTCCAGAGGTCTTTTGGGCTTCTTTTTAAATATCTGAGGCTTGAAAAGCCTTATTTTATTGGTAAAAATAAATGGTATCTAATGAACTGATTTCCTAGACACTTAGTACATGAATCAAAGCTTTGGATAATTATCACTTAATCTAAAATATGCTGTTGTAAAGAGACTGAAGTTATTGTTTTGCATTGCTGGTTGAGCCCAAACCTCATCTTGGACTCATTAGAAATATTTATTGTAAGGATCTATTTGGCTCTGTTTTGGGGAAAGCATAAATTTCCCTCAAGTGGAGCAGCTGGGTGGTTCAGTCAGTTAAGCATCTGACTCTTGATTTTGTCTCCGGTCATCATCCCAGGGTCATTAGATCGAGGCCCACGTGGGGCTCTGTGCTGAGTGTGGAACCCGCCTAAGATTGTCTCTCTCTGTCTCTGTCTCTGTCTCTCTCTCTGCTCGTCCCCCACTTGCATGCACTTTCTCTCTCTCTCTCTCTCTCAAAGAAAACAAATTCCTCAACTGATCGCCCACATTTCACAGGCTTTCTGCTCACCCTGAGGCACCGGCCAGAGGAGGTGATGGCGTTTTTACTCACACGCGGGTGCCCCTTCCTGACCCACCCGAATCTGTATTCACGCTCCTTCTTTTTCTCTTCCTGTTCCGGACCTGAGCCCTGACTCTTGGTCACTTAAATTAACTTGCATCAATTTCTGTCGTTCGATCTGAAGATCATGACTCATATTCTTCCGTCCATTTACATCGCCGGGGGACCAAAGACGGCGTTCTGATTTCATGGAACTCACTGTGTGAGGTTCTGAAGGGGATAATAGAAACAGGCCTCGTGGACGGCTTTCCTGAGTGTTGGACCTAAGGCACTTCTACTGTGCAAACTTAAAAATTGAGAAACTTGGGGTGCCTGGGTGGCGCAGTCGGTTAAGCGTCCGACTTCAGCCAGGTCACGATCTCGCGGTCCGTGAGTTCGAGCCCCGCGTCGGGCTCTGGGCTGATGGCTCAGAGCCTGGAGCCTGTTTCCGATTCTGTGTCTCCCTCTCTCTCTGCCCCTCCCCCGTTCATGCTCTCTCTCTGTCCCAAAAATAAATAAACGTTGAAAAAAAAAATTAAAAAAAAAAAAATTGAGAAACTTGACAATGGCCATGAGCTTCCCTAGCCCCCCCAGTTTTCCTGGATACTCCCAGACGTGTGGGAACAAAGCAGTTCGGTTTCTGAGAATTAATGGGGTAGAGGCCCGGCTGGATGGTGGTGAAGAACACGAAGTCTTGAGTCTAATGGCTTGGATTGGAATGCCGAGAGGACTGTCTATTAACTCTGTGACCCAAAGCAAGCATTTAACTTGTCTGTGTCTCAGATTATTCATCTGTACGGTGGAAACAAGACTTCCAGCGGTCCCTACTTCACGCGGCTGTCATACGGATTAAATGAGATCATGCCTTTTAAGCCTCACGGGTAGTGATCCCTCGATATGTGGTAGCCGTTACGCTGCCTTCCAGTATCTTCTCCTCCCTCGTCCTGGACCTGCCGGGCATTTGAGCAGGACTCCACGTCTGTTAGGGGTCACACCAGAGCCTTTAGATTTCAACCGTCCCATCAACGCCGTGGATGTCCCCTGGTGCCTCCGGGGCTCCGAGCGTGGGTCTGGTCCAGTCTGCGGCCTCAGGTAGACGGCGTTGCCCTCTGTAATTGCTTCGGGGACAGTGATGTTTGCAGGTCACAGGGGTACAGATGCTGTAGAAGCAGGACTCAGTGTGCCTGTAAGGAAGGAGTGCAGCGTCTTGATTTTCTTCTCCGAAAAAAGTAAAAGTGGCTGCTTTCCTACGGAGGGAACAACCTTTTTCCCAGTGGAGTGAACAACTCACTAGTCTGTTTCTTCCCACAGCATCGTAAATGTGCTGAGGCCGTTTGTTTGGCCAGATGGTTTTTGGGCCCCTGCTGAAATGAGAGATGGCCTCGTTTCCTATTTCCCTCAAATTCTCCCACAAACCACACTTCTTGGGAGGAAAGGAAAAGTCGCCCTGTAAGCATGTTTACTTTCAGCTCCCTAGGAAGCGGAGCGTGTCCTCAGACGATGAGTCACCCCTGCAGGTCTATAAAATAAAGGTGCGCGTCTGCGGGCGGCCAGCAGCCTCCGGGCACAACCGTCAGGATGCACCGGGCCTTCCTCGCCGCCCTCCTCCTCTGGAGCTGGGCTCGCTGTCGGTCCCTGCCCCTTCCCAGCGATGGTGACGACGACCTGTCCGAGGAAGACTTCCAGTTGGCAGAGGTACAGTATCCGGCCGGTCCCAGCGGTGCGCCCCGTCTCCCCGACAACCTTCCCTTTTGCAGCAGGTGCTTCTGTTCTGTCTTCCAGCGCTACCTGAAATCCTACTACTACCCGATGAATCCCGCTGGAATCCTGAAGAAAGCGGCCACGAGCTCCGTGGCCGACAGGCTCCGAGAAATGCAAGCCTTTTTTGGCTTAGAGGTCACCGGCAAGCTCGATGACAACACCTTAGACATCATGAAGAAACCGAGATGTGGGGTCCCCGATGTGGGCGAGTACAACGTTTTCCCCCGAACGCTCAAGTGGTCCAAGACGAACTTAACCTACAGGTACGTCCGAGGTTATCTTTCTTTAAGATTTGCTACTTTAGAAAGCAGCATGAAATGCCTAATTTTCAGCACAGGCTGTAGAGGACAGAACATGTTTGGTCCCGTTTTTTAAAGATCGGCTTTAAATATTTAACTAGAAGTTAAAGAATTCCACTGATGACGTTAATACTATTGGTGAGAACGTCTCCTAACATCTATTATTGTTTTGTTAACCCAGCATTACTGTATGTTAAAAACCTCAAAGTATTTTTTTTTAGAAAAGAGATCAAATTAGAAGTAAAAGTAGGTTTAATAAAATTTACAAATGTACTACATCAGGCATATTTACTAACAGTGCTTAAAAGTGGAGAGTCCTACTGTCTCTAGGAACTTCACAGAGCTATTGCATTTTTGGGGTATAGCGATACAATTGTAAACTTGTATCATTCAGTATAAGTTTTATTAAGTATATGAATACTTTGGGACGCCTGGGGGGCTCAATCAGTTGAGCGTCCGACTTCAACTCAGGTTATGATCTCACAGTTCGTGAGCTCGAGTCCCGCCTCGGGCTCTGTGCTGACAGCTGGGAGCCTGGAGCCTGCTGAGATTCTGTCTCCCTCTCTCTCTGCCCCTCCCCTGCTCATGCTCTGTCTCTCTCTCTTAAAAATAAGTAAACATTAAAAAAATTTTTTAAATTAAATATGTGAATACTTTAAATGTAAGATTCCAAGTGGTCAGTTATTTGGAGATAGTCAAATGTCTGACTGAATTCATTTTGTTACCTTTGTATGGGCTCCTAATTGCTAAGTTCTTTGAAATGATGGATCTTTACCAGAACTTTCAGAGAAGGCATGGCATTAGAGTCAAAAAGCAGTATTCCAAGAAAATATGTTCTCAAATACCCTTTGCCTTCCAGAAATGTAATCGAAACTTTCTCTGTTAAATAGGATTGTGAATTATACCCCTGATCTGACTCATTCTGAAGTCGAAAAGGCATTCAAAAAAGCCCTCAAAGTTTGGTCTGATGTGACACCACTGAACTTCACCAGACTCCATGACGGCACTGCTGACATCATGATCTCCTTTGGAACTAAAGGTGAGGACATTGTGGAGACATTTTTACATGCTGGTCCTTACTTGTCTCCATTCTTTTTTCCCTCCTTTCGGTCATTCATCACTTTTTACAGAATCCACCCAGCATTGTGCCGGGCACTAGTGGGTATAATTAGATGCTGAACTCTTGCTTTTGTGTGTAGAGCATGGCGACTTCTACCCATTTGATGGACCCTCTGGTCTGCTGGCTCATGCTTTTCCTCCTGGGCCAAATTATGGAGGCGACGCCCATTTTGATGATGACGAAACATGGACAAGTACTTCCAAAGGTAATATTTCTGATGAAGATATGTCACGATTACTAGATTAGATGAGACAGTGATCCCACTGACAAGAAATTACGGAGCATACCATAAGTTATATTTGATAGTTGCTTCTATCTTTCAAAACAATTACAAATGTGTCTTATGTTTATTAGTCTCTATAAGTGACATTTCTACAAACCTGTGTGAAATATTAGAAGTGAGCAGTTCGGTTTAGCAGCCTGAGGGATACTAGTAACTTTAAATTAGGACCAACATGTCCTTCTGTCAGCCAAGGTGGTGTTACTACAGATTACCTTTTGGCATGTTAAGGAAGTACAGTTTGTTACAAACACGTACCTAAAAACTATTAGGGCTGGATAGGCAAGTCATAGATGAGTTGGATGTGAGTCGAAATAGTTTTTTTTTCCTTGACAGAAATAGCACAAGTGCAGTCAATTTTCTGTTTTCTGTTATATGTGTTACTTGTTTGAGACATGTGTATGTCACTGATTTTACAAACACCCTTACAACAGATCAAGATATGTCTTACTCAAAACGGCATGAAACAGATAAATATACGGAGCATATAAAAGCAAAATGAAACCCATTGTTGAATGAATTCAGTCGGTAGTTGAATCTTCAAAACTGAAAAGAATTCAAAATATTAATTTAGGAAGAAAAGCCAGATTGTTCCAACTAGGACTTAAGTATGGAGCTATATTGACTGTTGGTTGTGATAATTAGAGGTAGTCCTCATAGAGGCTAAAGTTCTTCACTTAAATCAGATGGATTGTTTTTCCAAAGAGTAAAACTGGGCCTTGCCTGACCAATGCCTGAGCTCCAATGCCTCCAAGCTATCTTTGGAAGGAAAGGTGAGACTTTGCATATTTGTGTTCTGAATTATTACACAGGTAAGAATGATTTTAGGCAGAAAGAATAACATCTAGTGCTGTTAAGATAGAACCACACTGAACCTGAGTTTTGGGTTCCTGCATAAATCCTGGGTTTGAAATATTTAGCTGAAATGAAGAAAATATTCACACACAAGCCACGATTAATGTTTCATGGGAAGGCCAGGAATGGGTCTACCGCTGGTCGTTTCAGTGAAGAATTTCTTGTCACTCGGATCACGTGAGCTTTCGTTGCTCCTACGGTCTGCACGTGTTACTAAGTTGGTTGTACCTTTTCTTCGAGTACAGGCTCTGATGGCAAGTGGTGTTTAAGGTCAAACTGAAACCACCGACTCCAGCTTCCATGTGTTTTTTCCAACCATATATATATATAT